TACAGGAGCAGAGGATTTCAATTATTTAGAGGGTATGAAATTCAAGAAAAACAGAGGTCCGAAGCGTCTTTGGCCACGATTCTACTCTATTCTGTACGAGATTTTAGCTATCAAAGAACAAAGGACGCTCAGTTCGATCATTGCCTTAATGGGTACTGTATAGGCGAAAGCGAAACAAATTTCATTCAGATATTTCCTCTTCCAGAAACTTCGGTTGGTTGTGCTCGGTTTTCCAGGACTAGCATCGGATGTCTTCCTTTTGGGGACCACCCTACTACCCTCCCATTGTTGAAGAACCAAAAGACAACATTAAGAGCCAGCTGTGCAAGCAGGGAATCATCAGTTTCTTTCTGGTTCTGTGAGAATTTCCCAAAGATAGCCGTATCTGTGATTGGGGGATCAGGCACAGAAACAGAGGACTCAATCTTGGACACTAGGCTGAGAGTGTTTGTCAATGGTTCTGAACAACTTGTTTGTTTGTGTAATTACATAGTTTGTGAACAAAAAATGGCAAAACATGTGATTTGGTGTGGTTTGCGATGCAAACACAATAGGGTGATTTCAACACATAAATGGAATCATGTTCAGGTTTCGTGGGAGTTGAAATACCTCAGGCCTTATGATCCTCGTAGGGTAATTTCAGACGACAATGGAATCCCAACAATCGAAATAGATTTGTCTGCAATTCATGTCTATGAGAAGAAAGCAGCAGCACTGACAATATGCGGTTCACAAACCCTGATATTTCTCTGTCTCAGGTTGAAACGATGAGAAATGACCATATAATCTATTTTCAGGGCACATCGTCTTACTGGGATAGCGGGTTGCGCAACCTGATGGAAGGTACCATCTTTTTCTCCAGCTTGATTTAATCATCTTGGTTGTATCTTGTTCATCGCTTGAGGGATGTGTTCGTGCTGGCACACCACTTTAATAATGAGTTATTAATGTAAATGAAATCAGTTTCTTTGCTTGCCTTGAAACCGGTTTTCACTCGACACTAAAGTTGTTACCGTTTGCTGCAAAATTATCCTGTGTTTTTGACACCGCTTCTCAACTAGACTCAAATAATTTCCTGTCAAGTTTGATTCAAGAATTCAGTTATCAATAGAGCTCATTTAGATTCTTATGTGCTTTATGTAAACACAAGAAGTATGATGCCAGCTTGGAATTTCTTGTGAAGGTGAATGCTCTTTTATTGATTAATATTCCAGCTAATTTACTAATTGAGTTTGAGTCAAATTTTGAGTCTTTGAAATTAATAAAAATCCGTCTGCAGGCATAGATCTATGTTCCATCTTTTGCAGGACAATATCTTTGTCAGTTACACAAATGAATATATCGGTTCATGTTTTTTCTTTTTCTTTTTTTTTTCCCTCTTCTTTTTTTGGCCCATATATCAGTTTATGTGTATGTATTGTTATCATATAATGATCGGATATGTGCTAATCAGAAGATATCAATGTCACTGATCCTAATGGCTGAATTTCAGTCATAACCTTTATTGGAAAACTTCAACAATATAATGAAAAAGGGACCCTTGTATGGGGAGCCATTACAATTTTAGAATGTTGGGTGTTAAGTTCTTGGAGCTACGTGACGTTTGCAATGCTATCTCTTAATCAAACTTGTCGGTCTTCTTGCTTAGAGGTTAATTTCTAGAAGTTATGGATGCAGCTCATACTTTTATGGTGAATCAATCATTCTCATCTTGTAGTAAATATTTGTCATTATGATTGTTACAAAAAAACACATTTTTGAGAGGAGTGATCAAGATTGAAGCCAAAAAAAATTAAGAAAGAAAGCGCGAAGTGTGCAAGATTGGACGATGGTGGTGATTATGCAAAACTTGTGACGGTGCAGCCTTTGCTACCACTATTTAAGAGGTCCAGTGTTCAAAGAAAAGTTCATCGTCGGTTATAGCGGTTGTCGGTGACAGACCGCTGCTAAAACACATCAGGAATGCAAGCAGTTATAAATGACATCAATAGAACTGAAAATTATTATGAGTTTGATTTTTTTTCCCTATTATTTTAGTTAGTTAATTGAGAAGTTGTAAACTGAAATGACAAATGTTGAACTGAAAAAGACAAATATGGAACTAGAAATAATAACTTTTGTAGCCTTTTTTTTTTGTCACATTTGTGTAATTTCACAACATTTTCAAAATGTCAGTTCAGATATATTCATACTTTTTTTTTTTGGGAGATTTTCTCAAACATTGATTACAATTTTCTTTTTTTTACCCAGATAAAAAAAGTTGTATTTATTATTGAGGTCAGATAGTGAAACCCAATAATTAATTATTGAATGAGGACATTTGGGGAAAGAACTGTACGTTTGAAAGATATTTATTGAATTCAACTCCTTTAGCTATTAGTATCCTTCAGAATTAGTTATTTATTTCTTATGAAAATGATAAAGGGAGTATAACACAGCTGGTGCTACTATTGCAGCAGCGAATTCAACTCCTTTACTTAGTTTTGAAGAAGTTCAGCAGATACTTGGTTTTGAAAACTCGAGGCTGCTGTTTCATGTGGCTGACAACTTGGATCGGTTGGGGAGTGGGACAAGACTACTCTGGTTTCTAAGCGGGGGAAATGGCGGGATAGAAGGTAAAGTGGACAACTATTTATTCAATCTTAACCAATAACTTTATCTGAGCGTTATTGACGCCATTATATTGTGTTGGGTGTTGCCCCCAGCTTGAGGGATTTTATCATTTTCCCCCCCTATCTTGTACCTCACCAAGTAACATAGTACTCCTAACATTTGTTCCCATTATGTGCGCATGTAATGCATATGTTGTCTCAGCTAACAAAACAATTGCATTTAATCATCCAGTAACTGATGTATTATGTGTACTTATAGTTACACGGGAGAAGATACATGTGTCCAAGAAAGGGTTGGTGGATGCCACCTGTCACAGTGATGATAGTGATGTTCCGAGTGCCGCTGTTGAAATTATCGCCGTAAGTTGCGAATAGCCAGTGAGGGAGTTAAATAAGGTAATGAGAATGTTCGAACTGCATAGTGCTTAGTGCATTTTATTGCGTGCATATTGCAGGATGCCACGACTAAGGAGCAGGGAGAGGGAATATCTTCTCACCAGTCCATCAGCCACCAGAAGGAACGTTGCTATCGGGTGACCTGCTTTGGATTGACCTGCGGACTTATTGAGGAGCAGCTTCATTTGTTAAGGTTCCATTTGGTACAAAAAAAAAAAAAAAACGAGGGCAGGGAGATGAGGAAATATTTTGATGAGCTCATTTAAAAAATTGAAGAAGTGGAGTTAAAAAATTTTTTGATTTATTTTAATTATTCTTTTATCTTACATGTTCTTCTTATCAAAATTTTATAACCCTACTTCTTCAATTTTTTAAAATGAGCTCATCAAAATTTTTCCTCCCCTCCCTTTTTCTTCATTTCTCTCGTACCAAACATACCCTAAAGATGTTAGAACAACTCTATGATTTAAAGAATAGATTCTAGAAAAAAAACATTATGTTGAGAATAGTTTTTGTAAAAAAAAAAATTTTGATAAAATAAGAGTGTTTGAATAGTTGATATTAGAAATACTTTTTGATGTGCAGATTACTACAAAGATATAAATTAATATAATAATTATATAAAAGATATATTTTAATTTTTTTTGAAATAATAAATTTTTAAATAATTTTTTTTACCAACATAATAAATCATATTACCTCTAGTCCTAATTTATTAGTTATATAATTAATGAATAATTACTATGTAAATAAATATAAAATTAAATACATTTTTAGAAAATTGATAATTTCATATTAAAATTATAAATACTGAGTACTATAAATAACTCCACTGAACCTTCCCTCTCTTTTTTTTTGGCAACACACCTTCCCTCTCTTTTTTTATAGGCGCCAGAATCTTCTCGTTATGATAAAAGAAAACCGTATTTTCTCTCTCCACCTTGTCCCAAACTAAAACCTTAGTTTCTCATACTAAAACTATGGTTTTAAGCCAAACCGGTTTAAAACCTAAAAGTGTCTTTTTCAAAGTTTACCAAACACCTCCTTAATATAAAACTAACTTAATTTATTTAAAAAAGTTAAAGAAGTTAAATAAATTAACTTATTTAAAAAAATTAAAGAAGTTAATAAATTATCTTAAAATATTTATATTTATTATTTAGTTTTCTCCAAATTACTTCTCTTGTTCTATTTATATCACACTCTCAGCATGTTTCACATGTATTATATTAACTCTCTATTAAAATATAATAACTTTTCAACTTTATCTCATTTAATATATACATGTTTAAAAAAAATTAACCATCTATATTATAATAATTGAATGACCTAGTAGTATATTCATAATAAAAATTTAATGAATTGACTTATAAATAGAACTAAAAAAAAACTGCATCTCTCTTCTTTATAAATAAGACTAAAGGAGTAATTTGTTACTCTTATAAATTACTTCTTCGGTCCTTAATATAAGATTTATTTAACTAATTTGATTAGATTAAGAAAGTTAAATAAGTTAATTATAAAAAATATGACATGTTTTCCTAAAGCACCATAATAACCTTTTTTAATATCTTTTTTCTCTTTTCAACTTGACTATGGTTATGAGATTTCTATAGGAGTACTCTAGGAAAAATTGATAAATATGAAAAATAGGTCTTATATTTAATACCAAAATCAATTCAACAATTCGGTCTTATATTAAGGACCAAAAGAGTAATATTTAATCTAATAATACATGATCATGATTATGTAACAAATATTATAATTAAGTGATTTAATAACTCTTTAAATTTTTCTAAATTACGTAATTAAGTTTTATATCAAAAACCGAACCGCGAAGGAAGCCGTAAATTTCCTCATTTCGCCATCAACGATCCCGTCTATACAAAGAAAAGAAAGGGACTCTGCGAGGACCCAAATAAACTACAAGACAACAATATGTTATACGACAACAAATGGAGCTTCTCAGAATGATTAACTTCGCAGTCACCGATGAAGTGTAGCCGAATTCCTACAGTGCTCTGGATTTTCAAACCCGCAAACTTGTGGGAATGGCATGACCAGCTTGAGCAGACGGAGGTGTTAGCTGGCACAATTCATCAATTCAAACCCGAAGTCCAAGGTTCTTGATACTGACGATTCATAATTATATTGGTCTTCTTCAGCGCGCTGCTTGAAGGGATTTACAAGACCAACGAGCAAGTCAACTATGTAAATTACAATCTTATTACCCCTGAATCATCAAAGCGTAACTTCCTCAAATCCTGTGTGAACTACAGTCTTGCATTGCGGAAGCATCTCGTGAATGCATCAAGTATCAGACATGGTGTGCAAGAGTAAGATGTGCAGGGATTTTTACATGCGCAGGGGAGCTTTATATGAAGCAAGTGGGCAATTTTATATCGTTATACTTTCAACAAAATAGTTGAGATCCAGTATTTTTTTTTTCTTTTTAAAAGGGTTGATGGCAAGGATAATCTCTTTGTTCTGGATCTTATTTACTTTAGGAGAATTGAGCATGAGTAAGACAATATTCTTTAAGGTTAACTATTGCTCCAAGTTTTTACCAAGTGTTCCAAAGAGCTCAATATCCATGTAATGTCAAAAATTTATAAATTAGATTTCTACTCAATTTATGTCATTATCATTCACATTTTCTATGAATATCTGCGTTGTTGACTCATTTCTAATACTGACGACTTTCTCACTTTATAATCATCTGTCAGCTTTAAGCAGCTCAAGCGAATCCATGCCCTCTCTGTGACGCTTGGAATTCTACCCAATTTCCAGTCTTTGGCTTGCAATCTTTTAGAAACTTACAAGAATCTGGGCAAGCTACGAGACGCTCAAAATATCTTCAACCAGATTCAACATCCAGACATTGTGTCTTGGACATCCCTCCTTAATCTCTACCTCCACTCTAATCTCCCCGCCGAATCCCTTGCTGTCTTTTCCCTTTACATAGACAGTGGATTCAGACCGGACAGCTTTTTGGTTGTCGAAGCTTTATTGTCATGTGGTCGTGGCAAGGATTTGATCAGAGGAAGGGCCATTCATGGGATGATCTTAAGAAATCATTTAGACGTGAATTCTTTTGTGGGTAATGCACCGGTTGATATGTACTGTCAAAATGGGAAAATTGAAGTGGCAGCCTTAGTCTTCGAAAGAAAGCGATTAAATGATATCTTTGCTTGGACTACTCTGTTTAATGGGTATATTTTGTCCAATGATTTGCATTCTGCACGTCAATTGTTCAACAAAATGCCTGAAAGAAATGCGGTTTCTTGGACATCAATGATAACTGGTTATGTTAAAGGAGGAGCTCCAGTTCAAGCTCTTGAGCTCTTTTGGAAAATGGAGGTCCGTCCTAGCACAGCTACAATAGTGGCAATACTGTCTGCATGTGCCGATACTGGCGCTCTTAATATTGGTCTGTCCATCCATGGAAATGTTAACAAAACAAATCTCGAGTTGGATGTCATAGTGAATAATGCTTTGATGGATATGTACTCAAGAAGTGGGAGGCTTGGCTTGGCTATAAGAATATTTGACGAGATCTTGGATAAGGATGTATTTTCACGGACAACAATGATATCAAGCTACGCATATCATGGGAAAGGACAACATGCTTTGGAGGTACACTCTCAAATGTTGAAATCAAAGCTAACTCCAAATGAGGTTACCCTTTTGTCACTTTTGACAGCTTGTAGTCATTTAGGATTAGTCCTTGAGGGAAAAATGTTGTTCAACAGAATGATTCATTACCATCATTTGAAACCCAGCATTCAGCATTATGGATGCCTAGTTGATCTTCTTGGCCGAGCAGGGTTTCTTGAAGAAGCAAAAGAGGTGATTGAAATGATGCCTATTGAACCTGATGCTGCAATCTGAAGGTCCTTCCTCACAGCTTGCTTAGTCCATGGGAACTTGAACGAGGCTGTAATAGCAGGAAGGAAGGTGATTGAGCTAGAACCAAGTGATGATGGTCTTCATATGCTTCCGTGGAATGCTTGTTATGTTGCAAACATGTGGAAAGAGGCATTAGAAGTAAGGAAGCTGATGAGAACTACTAAGGTTAGAAGAAAGCCTGGTTGTAGTTGGGTTGAAGTGAATGGTATTGTTCAAGAGTTTCATGTTGATGATACATTGCTTCATTATAGCTCTGAGTTTTGCTTATTGTTAGAAAAACTGAAGGAGCTCTCAAAAACCGAGCTATTTTGAAAAGCCTTGATTTTTAGAAATGACTGATGGTCAGGTTTAATTTGTAGATTCATTTATTATATCTAATCAATGTGATATTAATGCGCACTAATATTGATATCTACAAGAATTTTCATCTTAATAAAAATTAATATTAGAGCAATTTTAACTGAACTCTTTGATACCTAAAGAATATTAGGACTATTGTTTGGGATTTTGGTTTAAAAAATATTATATCTAATTTTGTATGACTTCTTATAAATAGAATTCCAAAATACTATTGAAAATAATTTGTCTTATTTATAAGTTGCATTCTTAAATTTTTTGTATTTAAATTTTTTGTATGAATGTAGAATTTTATCTTTAACTTATTATTCTGTAAATTTTATTCCTATAGGTAAAATTTAAAATTTATTAAATTTTAAGACAAAGTTAATGATATTTATTTATTTTTGTTTTAACAAAATATGCTGTGAATGATTTATAAATAGGACTAAAAGAATATTATAAGAAAATAAAAAGATAAGGGGAGTATTAAACATATTCCAACAATATAAAATCTAAATGCTACGTGTATGAGTAAGTTTGCCCAAACTCGCTGATACCAAAGGGATTTTGCTCATGTGAAATTTGATTAGAGTGGAAATATTAGGGCCTGTTTGGGTATCCCAAAACCGTGATTTCAGAAGCACTTTTTCGCAAAACGAGATAATCTCCTCCACATATTTACTTCGTAATCCGTAAAAGTAGTTCTGAAACCATAGTTTGGTTTCTATCCAAACACACCCTAAAGTGTAAAAACTGAAGTCGATCATGCGGATAAACGATTTTAGTGGTTTAGATAGAGGCAACGCGGAATGAATGGGAAATGATTAGGAAAACTTTGAATATGATGATAATTAATTATTAGTTTTTAATAATGATTTGAACACATAAAATTGCTTATCTTATCAAGTACACAATCACTTAGGAGGTGTTTGGGTGATGACCCAAACCATTACCCAAACCATGGTTTGGCAAAAAATCACCCAAACACCATAAAAGAAAAAAAAACCAAAACCATGGTTTTGGCAGAAGCAAAAATTTTATATTTTTGGGAGAAAAAGGGAGAGTGTGAGAGCTTATGAGATATGTGTCTTGTTATTTTTTTGTCCTAGACAGATATACCCTTCCTAATTATTCATCTCTTTCTCATTGTTTCAGACGTAGTACGAGGGAGAGCCTGAGAGTAGATCTCAACAATAATATTACTTTAACATCCATCAATTATTTTTTATAAACATATTTAATCTTATATTTTATAAATATATATAATTTAAAATTAATTATGTTAATAAAAAATATATCATTAAAAATTTTATTCCTTCAAATTAAAATATATCATAAAATCTATTTTTTATGTAATTATCATATTAACTTATACTTGTTTTTAGTAATTTGTATATATAAAAAGTGCTCCTGATAATAACTATCCAAACACTCACATCTCATAATCATTTTTTTACAAAATATATTCTTTACAAAATCTATTCTCTCTAAAATCTATTCTTCAGAAGCTATTTTTCAAACTATAGTTTAGTTTTATCCAAACACCCCCTTATTACTTCTTCACACCCAACCAAACCAGCTTATGCCCAAGCCAAACATGAGAAGGAATAGATTATCGATATGAGGCTGGGGAGGCTGGCGCACGCATTTTAACTAACACCTTTTGCCTCCCATTTTCTTTTTTGAGGTAAATAAATATTTAAATTTTAGTTTCTCACTATTTATTTATCACACAGTCACTATTTATAAGTCCCTTGTATAAAAATTAATAATTTTTTTAATATTTTCCCTTATTACAAAAAATATTAAGAATATGATTTATATTTTTTCTTATTTATTTGTTTTATTAAGAATATGATTTATATTTTTTCTTATTTATTTGTTTTATCTTTCTCAAAATTTATTAAGTCAACAAACAAGAATAAAATTGAAAAAAATCACCTATTTATTTTATTTTTTTCCCCTGTATTTTAAGTCAACTGCCAGACTTTTTCTTTACAAAACTCATTTGTTAAGAGCACGTAACTTCGAATTGTAATTTTCTTCGTTTCGACAAAATCTTTTACATTTCCATAATTAATACCTTTGTCCTATTTACATAGAAAATTTAGCAAAAAATACATTTATAGTTCTTTAATTTTACATAAGGATTTAATTTGTTTTGTTCACTTTAAAAAGTATATTTTTATTCATTTAATTTAAAAATTAGCAACAAAAATTAATGACATTGAGATTTTAAATGTTGATTAAAATATTCTAAGATACTAACATATTAAATTTAAATTTTAAAATAATCATGATTTTTAAAAAAATATCATTTAAAATTAACAATAATTTTAGAATTAAAGAACTAAAGATATATTTTTACGTTAATGGATCAAATTCAAATCGTATACCAAATATATACTTTTGGCTGAAAATTTTTTAGAATGAAGTGTTTTCATTTTTAAAAGACAGTAATAATTTATCAAAAATTTTAATATAATTCTTTTTATTTTTGTCTCGTTAATTATTTGTTAGTCTTACTACATTAATTATCTCACACTACCTCCCTCTATAAAAAAATAGTATGTTTAAAAGATAAGTTACATTTTTTAAAAATATTTACTACTTTTAACTAATTTTAATTAATTTTTTAAATATGTAATTTGATCACTTGTATCGTATAAAAAGAATAAGTTGAAGTAGAGTATTAAATATTAATATTAGTATAATGAAGGTGACGAATAATCTATTAAAGGGATGAATATTCTTAGGTTAATCATAATTTAATTAGACATCTCATATGCCGAATCAATTGAAAATTTTGTGTGCTTAAAGTCATGAACAGATTAAGGCCATCGTCTTTATATACAAGACACATATGTAATAAATAGATATTTTACGGATTTTAAGTGTAACGACTCGAATTTCGGCTCAAAAGAGTGTAACGACTCGAATGATTCAATTTCAAGCATATGTAATAAATAGATATTATTTTTTAAGTTAGGTATTTGTAATAAATAGGTATTATTTTTTTAAAAATATCCTTACTAATCATGTGTATTAACTAAAACTAATATCGGATAAAATATTTAATATGTACAACTACTATAAGAACTATCTTAAAAAATGAAGAAATATGATTAATAAAGTGAATCGAAATCTTATATTTAGGATCAAATTAAATATCAAACTAATTCTTATACTAAAAATGTTATATATATATATATATTTATATAAATGAGACGTTCTTGGTGCATTTTGCAGGCACACAATGTATCAAATTGGTCTGAACGGATTCGGCCTCATGCTTCACTTGTATTGAATACTCTCATTTTATAACTGGGGATTTGTACTTAACGTTAAATATAACATTTTTATATTTATTATTTTTTAAAACTAATTTACTTAACTTAAAAACTTATATACTACCACTTGTCTTTAATATACTCTCATTCTTTATAGCCGGACATTTGTACTTAACGTTAGACACAACATTTTTATATTTATTATTTTTTAAACTAATTTACTTAACTTAAAAACTTATATACTACCATTGGTCTTTAATATAAGAGTCAATTAATTAATTTGAAGAAATTAAGAAATATACTAAATTACTTAATTATATTACATGTTACATAATCTTTCTAAAATATTTATATTGGTCATTAGATCATATATCAATTTATAAGTGAAATAATTTTTTTTGGAGAAAAATAATAAATACAAAAAGTTTAAAATAATTTAGAGTTAACGCAAATCTTGGTCCCTCAAATTTAGATTTATTTTGGTATTGGTCCTTGTAATTTCGAATGCGTGGTATTAGTCCCTGAAACTATATCTGTTTTAAATCACTGGTCCCTGACTCCTGGGCATCGTTAAATTCTTTTGAAATGGTATTAACATCGTTATATTGATGTGGTGGACACATAGGTGGCTTATATGTGGCTTGATGACCTAGACATAAAGTTGAAAGGAAAAAAAACAAAAACCACCAGGAGATGCAAAACGCACGCACACGACAGAGCCAAACACCTACATGCACAGATGCTTGAAGGAAAGCCAATGGGGAAAGGGTTAGGTCAAGAGGACCCACTTGGTGCTAGTGATTACTGACGTGGCCGTCGCTGGAGTAGTGGGTTAACCGGTGGTTGTCATGGGAAGAAGGTGTACGAGTAATTTTTGTTTGGTTCTCTCTGTTGAAGGGTGACAAAGATTCTATAAACTGATGTTGAGCATTGTGTTTGAACCATTTGTGTTGAAAGGTAAGTGCTTCAATTTTCGTGGAAAGATGAGCTTGTAAAATATATTGATGGAAAGTTCCCTCATCTTCATTTAGCATTCTGTTTGAAAAAGTTATGACACTGGGGTTGTATTCTGCATTTGAGTTTAACTGAGTAAATATTTCATTTTAATTGCTTCTATGGTCAGTGTTTGCAGGTGCTCTGTTTTGATCTGTTTCCGTTGAACCAATTGGTATGAAGTTTAAGAAACTGTGTATATGATTTCTCTGTGTTGTTGTTTGTTCAAATGATTTTGTCCGTGGGTATAATGTTGTTGCTGAACTATGGGTATGGTTCTTGCTTTGTTTACACTGTGGTCTGTTCTTTAACGCCATATATAAGCAAGCTCTCCTCTCTTATTTGCTCATGCCACCCCAG